GCGGGCGCCAAGGCGGGGGTGGGGGGGCCTCTGGCATCACTGCCCCGGCAGCCAACGGGCCTCCCCCCTCCCCTGGGTCAGGGAGGGGAGGCCACAGGGCCTACCCCCAGGGAACTGTTCTTAGACCTTCTCACTGAGGCAAGTGACACACAGGGCACACACCTGTGTGATCAGCGCAGGTCAAGACGGAGCCCACTCTCAACAGCCCAGGGCGCTCCCGTGACCCCCACCCGGTCAGTACCCCGAGGGTGACCTTCTGCCCTCTCACCAGGCACTGCTTCTGCCTATTTCTGAACGTCACCTAAATGGACTCCTACTGAGTGTTTTCAGGAAGAGCTTCTTCGGTTCAGCACTACGTTGTGAGGTCTACGCAGGCTTTGCAGGCCCAAGTGGCCCTCCTTTTTCACTCCTGTGTAATATTCCACTGTAGAAACGGACCACATTTGCCCATTCTACTGTTGGCGGCTATTTGAGTTGTTCTCAGTTCTCGGCCAAGGGTACAGCTGAGAGGAACATTTCTGACCTGTCGCTTGGGGGATATCAGCTCTCATTCTGCTGGCGGGATCGCCAGGACACCGGGGAGATGTGTGTTTAACTCTAGTAAGTGGTTGCAGATCTCTACAGAGTGACAAAATCAAGTGGGCCAGAGTCCCATGGGAGGAGACCAGCAGGCCCCACTGGTAAGCAGCCCCGCGGTGCCTTCCTACTGGAGCCGCAGAACCCAGTGCACAGTAGCTTGAATGAATGGGCCAGGTCTGGCGGTGCTTTCAAAAGGATCACCCGAATGATGGCTGAAATGTGTTTGCTGACCTGATGCTTTAATACTGCCTTTATTTCCTTTTCGGCCTTAGTTTCTTACTAAAGTTCCCGATGAAAAAATCCAGCCCAGCCAAGCCCGGCCGGTGTGGCTCAGTGGTTGAGCATTGACCCAGGAACCAGGAGGTCACGGTTTGATTCCCGGTCAGGGCACATGCCCGGGTTGCGGGCTCGATCCCCAGTAGGGGGCGTGCAGGAGGCAGCGATCCATGATTCTCTCTCATCATTGAAGTTTCTCTCTCTCTCCCTCTCCCTTCCTCTCTGAAAGCAATACAAATATGTTTTTTAAAAGTCCAGCCCGTCTCTGCTGAAACACACAGAGAGATGGGGGAAGAGAGAAGCTGCCCCTCCCGGGGCCTAGGAAAGGCGGCTCTACCTCGGGTGCAGGGGTACAAATTGGAAGTCTCCAGAGGGGAATCAGAAACCTGGGAGCAGGCGGACACTGCCCTGCTAGAGCTTCCCCAACAGAATGGATGGTGCCTTGTTTATTTACAGGTGACACGCCCTAGTGCCTGGACAGCAGCTGTGTGTGTGTGTGTGGGGGGGCGTCT